AATAGGAAGCTAAGAAGTAACTTCAACAGAAAGACCCAAGACTAAGAAGTCAAATCCAGCAATGCAACTTTGTCAGCAGAGAGTTGGTGAGTCACATCTATGAGACAAATTAACTTAATTACCTGGTGCTGTGGCTTCATTTGCAATGATTATTCATTCAGTGAGCTGGCTAAATTATGCCCTTTCATTCACCAGCTTGTTTCACTACCCTGGAGATCAGAGATGTCAATCTCTTGCATGATATGTGGTTCTCCTGTGATGCAGGCTTTATGTGACTGAGCACCTGTTCAGGTGGCTCCTGTGCCCTGGGAGGCACCTACCTTGCTCCTTAGGTATTTCCTTTATGGATTGGAGATTAATGCATAGACTCACCTCCTTCAGCTCATTTCATTTCAGTTCAAGGAAAAGATTCAAGGCACTGAGAACACAATTGAACATGACATTGTGACATTCCTTCTTGTGGTTTTAGGTGCCACGAGGCTCTGGCAATAGCCATCCAGGGCGTGGGGTTGATCCTGCACACTGAGCTTCTCTGGAATTCTCCCCTGTCCTCTCTGCTCCCTCTGGGCCCACCTCTGAGAGCACTTCTCTCCCCTCGTGGGCAGAGACACCTCTGCATTTGGGGCCTGGCCCCTCTAACCTGTAGTAGCATGAAGGCTTGGTTTGGGTGGGTGGGAAGTACCATATTAAACAAACTTGGAATTGAAGAAAGCTTTGATTTCTTTTATCACGATACATAATATCTTACTAATATTTAGATATGAGTATTTGGTATAGGTATAGAATGTGTCATGATCAAGCCAGGGTATTTGGGGTGTCCATCATCACCTTGCCTGTCTGTCATTTCTATGTGCTGGTCTCATTTTAAGTCTTTTCTTCTAGTTACTTTGAAATAGACCAAACATTGCTGCTAAGCATAGAGCACTTAACAGTGTCCCAGAGCACTCTCCAGCCACCCATGGGAGGAATTCTTGCATTCCTGACTCTTGGCTTGTACCAGGGTAGAAGTCAGAGTTGCTGCAATGCACAGGGCAACCCCCAGACCAAAGAAGTATCTGTCCCAGTGTGTCAGTAGTGCTGAGGCTGGGAAACTCGGCTCTAATGCTGTATCACAAACACATAATGAACCATAGTTTAGCGTTTTCATGAACTTAATAGAGCAGGACAGAGAGCTAAGCATGAGGTGTCTCCAGTGCCCAGCACAGAGCTAAGCCCATGATTGGCGCCCAAGGAGCCATTAGAATTCTGTGGTCACACGGCTCATGTGGGACTCGGTCTGTCCTGCTGGACACTCACTAGTGAGTGGGCAATGGGAACTTTTTGGAGCTGATGCTTCCTCTAACTTTTTCATTGTTGACTACTTTGTCTCCGTGTCTATGGAGATAAAGGAAATAGACCATTTATTCCCTTCAAAAAAGGAGGAAAACAAAATAAAGTCATTTTTCTTTCCTATGTATGCTAAGAATCATGACTTTCTGCTGAATTTGAAAGCTGACTGATCTTGTTACAAAAATCTGTACCTCCGTTCTGCAACTACTTTCTTTCTTTGGAGTTTCAAGAGGGCAGCCGGATGCTACAGCTTAGTAAGAGCTAAACACATTGTTCTGTGCTTTTTAACCCAAAGACACCATCTGGGAGTGCAGAGTGCTTGGGACTCAGCCAGGCCCTTGTCCTCTCCGGGGAGATGAGCGTGGCCCAAGTCTGTAGGTAGGGGATAGGGAAGGAACTAAAAACAGGTGATGTAAAGCCCTTATTGTGAATTGTTTAGAACTTGCTAGATATTTATAAATGTTATGGAGGAACTGCAGAGAGCAGAGAATTGGAAAATCTAGCAGGGGTTTAAACTTAAGAATCACTCTGTATATTTTTAAAATAATAGAGGCAGTGGTTTTATTTTACGACTTTTTGTTGGTAGCATTTGATCACTTGGTCTCCCAATGGGGTAGAAATTAAACTTTCTGCTTACTAAAATGAGAACTCTTCCTCTGGCCAAGGCACTCTAGATTTCTACCAGTAGTGAGTTGCATAGTTATATTCTGTGTTTCCTTCTGTGACGGTCGGGCACTAACACATCATCCTTATCTTTGAGAGGGTAGGTTAGTGCAGCTCCCCACCTGCAGGTGAAGAGAAGGAGAGTAACAGTGACCCACCTGAGGTGACAGGCCCCCCGTGGAGCTGTCTGATGCTTTATGAAGATATTTTTAGAATAAAGAGAGTAGTTGAAGGGACATGTTGTAATTGGTAAATCTTTCCGGGAAAAGGCAATTTGATGGGAAATAATGAACAAAGAAAGGCAAGATATGGATTTTGGTGCGAGGATAAGGTTGGATTTATTGTTGTTTCTAAAACAGCAGCGTCACTGAGATGTAATTTCTATACCTTATAATCCACCCATTGAAAAATACAGAATCCATGGTTTTTAGTCTATTCATAGAGAAGTAAAACCTTTACCGTAATCAATTCTAGAACATTTTCATCAACCTCCAAAGACACTTTATATCCTTAAGCTATCAGCCCACCATCCCTCAAATCGCCCAGCCCCTGACCACCAGCAATCTACCTTCCATCTTTATGAACCTGCTTAGTCTAAACAACTCATTTAAATGAAATCATCCACTGTCTGGCCTTTTGTGTGAGTCTTCCACTTAGCCTGTGTTTTCCAGGCCCATCTCTGTTGGACTGTGTGTGTGCACTGCCTTCTTTTTCATGGCCTGGGAATATCTGATTCTATAGACTGACTACATTTTGTGTTTCGGTTCTCCGATAGTGTGCACGTCACTCGGCAAAACCCCCGGGCCTGTGGAGTGCTCAACCGATAAAAGAATGAATCTGTTCACCAGCAGGGAGGACGTCCTACTGATGTCCTACTATGTGGCAGATGCCATTCTAGGAGCTGGGGATTTTGCCATGAAAAAACCTCAAAGCTTCTGCTCTTCTGCAGCTTGCAGTGTGCTGGGAAAGGCAGGCAGGAGATGAACGTGCAGGGTGGCCGGAGAGGGTGAGAGCCATGAAACCCTATGGCCAGGTGAGGCAGTCAGACAACTTGGGAGGGCCATGGTTTACATACGAACAAAGATTCCTTTCTCCTATGTGATCCCAGCACTTCCCAGAGAAGTGGAGACACAGCAGGTAAGAATCCAGGTTTCCTGTTTCCCAAATGGTGCCTCTGACATCATAAGATCAGCCTGGTGCTGACGCAGAGCAAGCAGGGCCATGTTTTGCTGTACTTTTTGTATAAGTTCCCTGATCCCTAGAGAAAGCACCAACCTTCTTTTCTCTTTCCCGTACCCCCTCTACTTTAAACTAACATAGCTGAAAGCTCACTGTCATTTTGCCATTGGTGCTTTTGCAACCATGGACTGTTCTCTTTTTTATCAGTGAGATTTGCTTTTTACCAAGTGATTGTAGTGCCTCGTCTGAGGCTGCATGTGCAGGTGCTGGGAGGATTCCTGGCGCTAGAGGAGGCAAGGAGGCAGGTGCGTGGGTGCAACACTCGCAGACCCATCCCCGCTGTGCTCCAGATGCTGTCTACCCAAATGTCACCCTTGAGGGGTGCTTGTTTCTCTGGGCCCGCCTTCTTCTCCTGCAATGACAATGATCTGGTTTTTAAGAATTGTAGTGAGAATTTGCAAAAATTGTTAGGAGTAGGTCTCAAGCAAGGAGTTAAAAAACAAAACAAAAACAAACGTTTCTTCTATGCTTGTCTGAGAGAAGTAGGGAGGAAGGGTTGAAGTCCACGTAGGAGAAAATAACTTCGTTATCACAGCATTCCATTTTTATGAAAATGACTTTTCACTGTTAAAACTTTAGAACTGAATCCAGCCAGTCTTAGTTTTCCTATCATGGCCTTTAGGGGAAGTGACACCTGACATTTGGAACTACTAATGAGACTCCCTGGAGTTAGTAGGGTCAGATCAAAGGCTCCTGTGCGGGCTTCCTGCTGCTGCCTCCCAGGCAGTCTGGGGTTGGTTGCTGGGATTAGTTATTCATCCAGGAGAAAGCAGCTCATGCCTCAGGGGGAAAACAGGCAGGGGAGCTCACAGGAAACCCAGCGGCTGGGGCGTGGGCATTTCTTCCTTCATTAACTGGGTAGCGTCCCGGGATGGGAAAGCCAGACTGTGTTTAACACTCTGGGAGTAACTGGGGCCATGCTCTGCACAGACACCTTCCCCTTAAGGAAAGGAAATATAATCAAAGTGTTCATAATAACGGTGTTGCCTCTCTTATTGATAAAGCACTAGGGCTGCTAAAAATCCATTTATCAAAATTGCCTGTTGCAATTTGGGCTTAGTCTTATTTTAATTAAAAAAATTGAGTAGGTAACACATATATGCTGTTCAAAAAAGATCCAAGCAACACAGGGGAAAGATAAGCACTGAGCAGTTTAATTCTCCTTGTCACCTCTGATTCTGAACCTCCTCCCCCAAGGCGCCTGGAGTTCTGTGCATATTGTCCCAAAGATACCTCACACAGTTCTAATATTGGAACAATTTCCAAATGCTCACCTGTAAATGGCATGCAGCCAGCCGGTGGGCCCTGAAGACCTCACTCCTAGAAGCCTCTGTCTTTACCTCCCTCATAAGTCTGCTAGCATCAAAGGAGATGATTCCTGTAAGTCCCAGGGCCTCGTCATAGTCGTGCTCAGTAAGTGGTGGCTATGTTAATAAAACAATTACTTATGAATTATCCACTAAATTAGAGTTGTCAGATAAAATGCAGGACACCCCATTACGTTTTCAGGTAAATAATGAAGACTTTTTTAGTATAAGTAAATCCTGAATAATGCATGGGCTATATTTACACTAAAAACATTATTCCCTGTTTATCTTTGAGTCTAATTTAAAAGGACATTTATTTGCTAAATCTGGCAACTTCACACTTTCAAGTTTCATGGCAAACTTGCAGCATGGCCATGCAGAGGGCAGTGTCTTGGAATGTTGAAATGTCAGAGCTAGAGGGGGACTGAGAGACTACCTAGACGTGTCTAGCATCCTTCTTTTTCATGCTTTAAGGCTGCAGTTGTCCTTCTGAGTTCCCATCACCCCAGCCAGTTTCTTGACTGTGAAAGCTGCAGAAGTAGCCAGTTCTGCACCCAGTCGAACCTCAGGCCAGTCCACTGCCAGCTGCGCTGTCTGCTTCTCCCTGTCCTTCCTCATCCCATATGCTCCCTTCAGGTCTGGAACCCAGGAAGAATCTTCAAGAATGGCCATGGGCTTACCCTGGTAAGGGGAGGGGAGGTGAAGGGTGAGGAAGATCATTTGTCCTGCTCTGGAGCAAACTGATGGGTCTTAAAATGAGTGGGGTGCAGATGGGAGGGGGTTTTGTAGACACAGAGGGATTTTTTTTTTTTTTGTCCTTCTCTTAGGGTTTATGAAACTCAAGATCAGTCAGACTATTAATATCTGACGTCTTCCTCTTCTCTTTCTCAGAAAATAGAAAACATAGAGTTTTTGGTGGATGTTAGGTGTGAAGAGGGGGGACGAACTATTTGACCCTTGATAGCTGATAATGTAGCTCAGCCCTCTCTTACATGCATGTCATGATCATGGTTTTCATGACTAATACAGACATTAAATAAAATGGAATAGAATGGGAGGGAGTGGAGAAATGTAAGCACCCCTCCCCCTTTCCCAATATGATGCCGCTGTATAGCTGTATAATTTAGATCACAAAGAACTTTTATTTTCTGATTTTTTTTTTTTTGAGACAGAGCCTCAAGCTGTCCCCTTGGGTAGAGTGCCATGGCATTACAGCTCACAGCAACCTCCAACTCCTGGGCTCAAGCGAGTCTCTTGCCTTCGCCTCCCAAGTAGCTGGGACTACAGGCCCCTGCCACAACGCCCGGCTATTTTTTGGTTGCAGCCATCATTGTTGTTTGGCGGGTCCGGGCTGGGGATTCGAACCCGCCACCTTAGGTGTACATGGCTGGCGCCTTAACCGGTTGAGCTATAGGCGCCGAGCCTATTTTCTGATTTTAACAAGCAGATCATTTTCTTTTCTTTCTTTCCTTTGCTGTCTGGCGTTCTCTTATTCCCTGGCACCTTCCCTCTATCCCACTGCCAACCCAAGCCATTTCTAGAGTGCTTCTGTGATTCCTACCAGTTCCAGTTTCCGTGAAGCCCACGAGAAATTCCTTTCATTGTGTGGAACATACGATATTCTTGTGAAGTGGTAGCTCAGGAAGACAGGCAGTAGGGAAAGAAAGTGGTTGGGGACTTGTTTCCCCCGTTCTCTCCCACCATAAAGGGGATGGGATGGGCACCCCGTGGGAGCTTTGGGAAGGAGTGTTCTCTGCAGTCAGAGCTAAGTGCTTTCTAAGCAAACCGCTGCCCTGATTTGCTCCCAGGCTGCATTTATGAAATAAAATGAGAAGTAAGATCTGATTTGGGGCATGAAATAGAAAGGAACCATGAAAGACATTTTATGACACTAACAACTCTGGGGATGGTTGGAAAAATTATTTTGATCTTATAAATTCTTTTGAGAGCTTACTTATTTTGTGAGATATTTTAAGCCCTCCCTTTCTTATAATTATCAACTTATTGGGGAAATTGTTTTAATAAAGCAATTAATAAAATACTAAGATTAGGTTGGTCTCTAAAGAAGGTTTTGCATTTCTTACTGTGTGTTTATTTCACACTTTTCATCAGGCCTGTTTTAGAGTGAATGACAAACAATTCCTTTAGAGATGGTACCTGCAAAGGTGATGCGCATGGTGAAATGTAACCCATCTTGGAGAATTCCGGAAGGAAAATCTGACTGATCAGCGTGGGGCTGATCTGTTATAAGATGTCTCAAAGCCTTTAGGAAACAAAGACATAAGAATCACAGGCCTGGAATATTACCCTCAGTAAGTCTGGAGCTTAATGAAGTAAAGCATAGTCTTCACTTAATGGTGCCAATTAATCTTTGGTATGCTCAGTAAATTTAATTATCGTAAAGTCATGATTTTACTCTGTAAAACCCAGGACAGTGGTGGATCAGCTTTCCGCCTAATTTATGCAAAAGTAAAATAAACCGGAAAGCATTTTTTACTATGAGTTATTAGTGACGTGGAGGATGAACTTGAGTATAATAATAAACTCGTCTGTTTTAAGAGTTGATTTAACAAACTAGGCTGACGCTCTATGACTGCAGTATATCATTTGAAGAATTAATACATTTTTGATATACTTTATGTAATAGGAAATGAGCCATCAGTTCCTTATAAATGGAGGCAAATTATATTTCAATGAATGAGAAAGATCTACAGAGATGATGTGTTGGACATGGCTTTGTTTCATTATAGTAGCTGAAATGTTTTCACTTTGAACTTGGTAAAAGTTTCTAATTTATATCCCAATAGAACTTAGATCTGGCATGCATCATTGTCCTTGGCTTGTTAGAAAAGTTTGCTTTTTAAAATTATGCTTTAAATATATAAAACAAAGAAGCTGACCTAAGTTCAAGGGGGGAAAACACTATACACAAAAGATGGAAACCTTGAGAATGTATTTTCTCTGTTTTAACATATTTTCTCTGACCTGTTTCCTTGTGGTCTTTAGTTTCCATAAATCTGCTGAGATTCCCTGACCCTTTAACAGGTTGTCTTATCTTTTCCACTAGGCATTTTAGCATTTATATCATAGTTATTTAAAGTTCATGTCTGATAATTTCAAACGCTGGGCTACTTTTGTGTCTGCCTCTATTGATTATTTCTCTTCTTGTCCACGGATCACCTTCTCTTACGTCTTTGTGTGCCTCCCCATTTTTGATGCATGCTGGACATTTTGTATAAAAGAACAGGTGGAGACTGAAGGAAAAAAGCTTATTTCCAGAAATGGGCCTATCCTTTTTCGTTTCAGGCTGCTGGAATTGGGGCAGTTGAGTGAGTCCTATCTGCAGCTGAGCTAAGACTGGACGTTTTTATGGCTTGGATTCTGTTCACCACTTGCTTTGAATATTTAGACAGCAGAATGAGGGCATTCTTCTCTGTGGGGCTTGGAATCTGACCCCTGCCAAGATCCAGTGACCTCTCTGTTTAATACAGTCCAGCTGCCAGTTTTCCTAATGGCAGGAGACCTGTCTATTATGTAGTCTACTCCCAGCCTTTTGGGTTCCCAGATAGCTCACTTTCTTTCCCAGTCCTGGTCCAGGCGTTTTTTAGCTAGGGAAAGTTCTCTGACTTGGAGGTTTTCTTGGCAGCTGAGAGCTGGTGATGCTGTTTCTGAGCTCTTCTGCTCACCCCCTGCCTTGCAGAGCTGGCTGCCTTGCACAGGAAGAGGTCCTGTGTGCCTCAAGGGAAGAGCCTCTCAGTTCTGCTCTGCCTCCAGCTTTTCCGTGTGATGCCTGGAGCAAGTGGGGAAGGCCCAGTGCAAAGACAGGGTTGGTCAGCATGAGACCTGCTCTGGGGCTGGGGCGCCCAGGGGCCTGATCTGTCATTCCAGTTTCCACATGGCCTTTAGCAGTTCATTCAAGTTTTTTTTTATTTTTTTTTATTTTTTTATTGAATGGTAACTGTGTACATTAATGCACGTGTGGGGTACACTGGCTCTTCTTTACTCCCATCGTTGGAAGATTTATCCTCTTCTTGCTGCTCAGCCAGGAAGGAGAGCAGCTCTAGGTCTCTTCTCTCCTACCGATGGGGACTATTTTCTAGAATTAAAGTTTAGCTCATATGCCCTTGCAGCTTATTCACAGTGCTTGGTTGTTAAACAAAGGGTAATGGTCTCTTGCAACTCTCTACTTAGTAATGAGAAGCAGATCTCTTCCTCATTATCTTTAAATGGATCAAATAAATTCCTGTTTGACTCTTTAGAAGGCCATATCTTCCATATTTAATGCTTCCTCCTCTCTGCCTGTTAAAATACTAATGGGATTGGGTGGCGCCTGTGGCTCAAAGGAGTAGGGCACAGGCCCCATATACCAGAGGTGGCAGGTTCAAACCCAGCCCTGGCCCAAAACTACCACCCCCCCCCAATACTAATGGGATCTTAGAATCAGTCTTACCTGGGCACCTAGGGAACAGTGTTGGTCTCACCTTTGAGCCCTTTTAGAACTTGAGGCCTCTATCACTCCCCTGGCATTGAGAACATGTAGCTGTGCAAATTTAGATATTTTGCCTGGATATGTCCTGTCTCCCCCTCCAGCAAATCCCTGTTTTAAAAAGTTGTGCATATCTATATCAGCAGATTTTGGGGACTTGTGTACTCATTAATTTTGTCCCCAAATGCAGATGCACTAACCACCACTCAGAGGAAGCCAAGGATAGTTGCAGAGTCCAAGAAGACTGGAAAAATCAAAGACTTTTCCTTTGAAAGAGGAAAACAAAAGAATACATCTAGAAAACAAACAAACAACAACAAACTCCCCCCCCCCCCCAACAAGTATTTTATATGCCTGGGACTGCAGTAAAAAGCAGAGAGGGTATTAGCCAACCCACACTCACCTGGAGATCACAGGCAGCAGGGAGGAGGCAGCGCGGTTCTGCCCCAGGCAAGCCCGGCCAGGTCTACTGCATTTTCTTTGGAAATAGTGGCAGTCACAGAGGCCAGGGGATGAGATGGGTGTGATCTATCTGGAGTTAGTCGTGTTATTTCTCATTAATTCTTTGTGAGTCTCAATCAAGAAGTTGTGGCAGAGACTGAGAAGGAAAAGTCCCCACACTTACAAGAAAATACTCATGATTTTGTGGTCATGGTAAGCAGCAAACAGAGTTGGCTTTAAGTCCGTCAGTGGCATCTTGCTTCAGTGAGCATGTCTCTGAAAGCCAGTCAGCGGCTGGCTAATGCTCTGAGAGTCATTCATCTGGGCAGTGGGCCGACTCTGGTGGGCACACGTCTAAGCTGCTGCCAGCCTCTCTGTCTCTGCAGATAGTACAAAGTGGGTTTCTGAGGCTGCCTTCCACTCCTGCCCACTGCCCACACTCTGTTAGAAAGTCAGCTGTTAGCTCTGCTCAGTGAAGTCTCACTGGTCTCTTTGTTCAGTGAAAGCCCCTATAACTAGCTTAGCTCTTTTACTTAAGTAAGTAGTAAATTTAGTACTTTAGTTTCAGGTATAAGTGTTGGTCCTATCCTGTCATCCTTTCACAGATTCCACCGAAATCATTTTGAAGACCCTTGCTTGGTGGCATTCTGTGTGTTCCCTGGGCTCAGAGCCATATTCATTGGGTCATTTGTGCCCAGATGTCACTTGTCCTTTATGTTTGCTGCCAGGTAAGTCTATCTCAGCAACACTGTGA